CCCGGCCAAGGTCGGAGCAGTTCCTATATTTTGCTTCCTAACAAGACCCTCTGAAGCGTCTACCAGGCCAGCGGCCTCAGCACTGACACCGCGCGTCCCGTCACTGGCAGCCTCAGGCACGCGCTCCGCATGAGTGGGTCTCACAGAACATCCGGAACCTGAGTCTGCGCCAGCTCGGGGTCCCCAGCCCACGGGGGCGGAAGACAGCACGGGAAGGGGAACCCGGGGCCTGGGTGGCCGTGGCTGTGCCGCGGGCCCATCCCTTACTCCTGGGGTAGAGTGACCGGGAACACCCAGAGGTGGCCTGTGGCTGGTACGCTTGAGGCTGGGGCTGTGACGGTCATGGCCACTTACCTGAGACCAGAGCAAGTGCTGAGACTGACCAGTGAGCCGGCGTATCCCTGCACATGGCCGTGGTAGTAGCAGTGACCCTGTAGGGGAGGAGAGAGCAGGTTCAGTAATTAGCATCTTCACGCCCACTGGCACTCAGCCAACCCTCTCCAGCCCTCCTGCGAGATTTCCTTGTAACATAAGCAGGGGTCTTCCTGTGGACGCCAAGCCCACCCTGATCGGCCAGGCTCCACGGCAGGAGTGTCAGATTCTGCCTGGGGTCATCAGGAGGGCTTTGCAAAAACATCCCAGGTCCACTCTGGCGTCCGTGACCCCTTCAGGAGAGCCCAGGTGCAGAGTGTCCTGTGAAACCCAGCCACGAGCCCGTCATGGCAATGTCGCTGTTTTACCCTCATGTCCACTGCCGTTTGTGAGGACACGGGGAACTGGAGGCGGGAGTGAAGCACACCGTGAAACGTGACAGAGCGGGGCCTAAATCTGAGGTTATAACAGCAGCAAAGCAGCTGAGAGGAAGGGGGCCTCCCTGAGTCACCGATTTGGGGGTGAAGGTCAGTTCCAGTAGGGGAGGGCAGGAAGCTCTGCTCAGCGTGGACAGCAGCTCCCACGTTCCGTCCTCTACAAACCTCACTACTTGCAAGAGAAAACACAGCAGGGACACGTCCGCAGTGGGGATGGATATCTGTGCGGGGCTCAGCTGTAACCCCACGTAGGTGGCTGCCTGGCGAACTCAGCACCCCTCACTGAGGGCCCCTGGGTGCTGCTGTGTGTAGGGTCCCTGCGGGGGAGGGGCTGCAGCTCCCGCAGGGGACACAGAGCGGACTTCCCCCACGTGCCAGGCCGCTCCCCCACAGCAGGAACACCCTGTCTCCAGGCAGGGTCTGTGTGCAGTTGTTCTGTCCGGCAAAGACTCTGCCGAGAAAAGGGACCAGGCGGCTCGGAGCGGTGGAGGCAGTGGGAGAGGGAAAAAGGGACCTCTGTCACGAGGCAGAGCGCAACAGCCTGAGGTCATGTGACAGATGGCGGCCGCGGGGGATGGGAGAGCGGCATTTGTCATTTTGTTCGCCTTCTCGCTGATTTGGGAGTGCTTGACAGGTGCAGGAGAGCCATCCTCTGTCGGTAACCTGCTCTGCTTCATCACGGCTTCCGCCCGGGGTTTCTGGTGGTTGCACACTAGCTACCTGCCGCATTGCGTGCGTCTGCAGGCAGCTTTGGGAAACGTCATCAATCAGTTCTTCATTTTCCTCTTTCCAGCATCTCACAGTGAGCGCTCACACGTGTCTGCAACGTGTGCGATTGTGTGTGCAAGTGTGAGGCTGGAAGCCAATTTCCCCTACAGACCAAGGGCCAGTTGTTCTTCCCCGCCACCTGTCCTCCTCCCGGTCTTGGTGTCCCCTCGTCACACGCGCAGCACCCACAACACTGTGGCTTCACCTTTGCCCCCCGTGGCTAGCCCACTGACAAACCTCCATTGCTCTGTTTCTGTGTCACACCGCACAGTTTTGATGACTATTGCTCTACACTACATTTTGATATCAGAGAGAGCCAGTTCTCCGGTTAAGATGCAGCTCACATATCGTAACACCTTTTATTTATTTATTTTTTTTGACAGGCAGAGTGGACAGTGAGAGAGAGAGACAGAGAGAAAGGTCTTCCTTTGCCGTTGGTTCACCCTCCAATGGCCGCCGCGGCCGGCGCACCACACTGATGGCAGGAGCCAGGTACTTCTCCTGGTCTCCCATGGGGTGCAGGGCCCAAGCACTTGGGCCATCCTCCACTGCACTCCCGGGCCACAGCAGAGAGCTGGCCTGGAAGAGGGGCAACCGGGACAGAATCCGGCGCCCCGACCGGGACTAGAACCCGGTGTGCCGGCACCGCAAGGCGGAGGATTAGCCTAGTGAGCCACGGCGCCGGCCGTAACACCTTTTAAAGGCACACAATGAGCAGGTTTTCGTGCATCCCAAGTGCTGTGCACCCATCACGACCATCTAATTCCAAACCATCCCTATCATGGTCCCTCCCCAAACCTTCACTCACAATTACTCGCTCCCCTGGCGGCTGGCGCCCACTACTCCACTTTCTAGCCCTGCGACTCTGCCTGTGCTGTGCGTTGCACAAACAGGCAGACCTTGTTTTACTGTGCAACAGATTTGTGGTGATCCTGTGTCTCCTGGCGCCGTTCCCCACAGCTCAGGCGTTCATCGCAGTCGTGAAGAATAAAGCTCTCTGTAGTTAAGGTGTATGCCTGCCTGTTCTCGAAGACAGAAGGGGGTCGCACACTCAGCAGACCACCACATGCTGTGAGTGGAACTCTTGGATGTACCGACCGGCTTTGATGCAGCTTCCACTTTACCACAGTGGCCGGGAGCGGAAGCCGCAGGATCCAGGGGAGCCCTGGGACAGAGTCAGACAGCAAGCGGCCTGCTTGGTCGGGCTTCCGTCATCAGCACAATGTTCCCAAGGGTCACTCGTAGTGTGGCAGGTGTCACGCGCCACTCCTTCCTACCACTGAAGACTCAGTGCTTTGCTTACCATCGGCTGATGGGCGTACAGGCTTTTTCCAGTTCTTGGCTAGAGCGAGGCACGCTGCAGGCACGCGAGGGCACGCGTCTTTGTGAGGACGCAGTTTTCACTCGCCTGGGTACCTACTGCGAGTAGGAATGTGGGTATAAACCGACAAGCGGAACTGCGAGATCGCACGGAAGGTTCTAGAAGTGCTTCCAAACTGCTTTCCTAAACAGCCGGGCCGCGTTGCAGCAACACGAGCCGGCGCTGAGGGAGTCGCCCTCGCCACGTTCCCGCCGATGCCTTGCAGTGCTTCTCTGTTACAGCCAGCCCAGCGGATGTGAAGTCGTATCTCGGTGTGGTTTCCCTTCATTTCCCTAAACCAGACTAATGACGTCGAGCGCCTCTGCGTGGGCAGTTGGCCGTGTGTCCAAGTCCACTGAAGAGACGCCTGCGCAAATCTTTCTCCACTTCCAGATAGCATTGCTGTCTTCCTGCTGCTGGAAACGCTCTCTAAGTCCTGGGTTCGAGGCTCTTAGGAGATCCGTGGCTGGGAATGATTCATACCACCGTCTACGTGGGTTTTCACTTGCTTGTGTGTCCAGTGAGGCCTTGTGGTTTTCACTTGGATGCACTCCCGTTTGCAGGGTTTTCCGCCCTTCGGTTGTTTATGCTTTAGGTGCTGTATCTAAGAAACCGCGGGCCAACCTGAGTGCGTGAGGATCCACACCTACGTTTTCTTTCAAAAACTGTCGGTTTAGCTCTCGCACTGAGGTCTCCAATCCAGTTTGAACTGCTTTCTGGGTGTAGCTTGAAGCAGGAGCGGCCCTTCCTTCCTCTCCCTGCGGAAGCCCGGCTGTCCCGGAACCGTTTGTGAACAGGGCTGCCCTTTCTCTGTCTAATTGTGTTGGCAACCTTGCCGATAGCCTGCTTTCCTTGGGTACTGTTCTTTTTCCAGCAGTGTCTAGGCTGTTATTGCCTCTTTTCTCTTTCAGATGAATTTCCGAATGGTGTAATATCCACTGAGACTTCAGCTTGGACTACACTGAAGGCACAGATCCATTTGGGATGAACTTGTGTTTTCACAATAAAAACGTTCCTATTCATGTACATGGTAGGTCTCTCCTTTTAATAAGGTCATATTTCAAGAATTTCAGTTCAGTTTAAGTTTTTTCTTCCCATGTGGCCTCTAGAAAGTTTTCTTGAAGCTCAAGCCTAGGTGTTGTGTAGGTTTACTGACATCATGAGTAGCATGTTTCTTCTATTAGGTCTTATATATGGTTATTTTCTAATGTAAAGGGAAACTTTGGGTCTTATAAGTTGGTCTCATAGTAGACATTTTGCTGGAACATCTTCTCAGTTTAATAGTTTGAAGCCTAAGTTGGATTTTCTATGTTATTGATCTTATCGCTTGCCAACAACTAAAGTCCTGTGGACTCCTTCCTGAAACCCAAGTCTCTCCATCAATTTAGGGGTAGGATGGCTGGGATCCAGGTGCCATGCCCACAGGGGACAGGCACATGCAAAGGCAAGGGACAGCAGGGGCGGTGGCAGTTCAGGGTCAGGGCGAGCATAGCTCTCACAGTGCCCAGCTCCGCTGCCAGTGAGGCCATCCTCCTTGACAGACACGTGGCTTAGGAGCGGATACGTGGGCTGCCCAGCCCCATGCCAGACACCCACCCATGCTGTGGGCTTGGCAGGCCTGTCCCTGCCCTGGGTGAAATGATTTGCTGGCTGCCTGCTCTCCCGCCCTGCCCCCAGGTAACTGAGCCCGGCACGAGGGTCTCAGGAAGAGGACTGCTCTGTGAGGGACCCCATGATTGCATTGTCACCCCCAGGGCATCAGAGGGATCCTGCTGCACACGGTGTTTCAGCCTCGGGCTCGTGGCCAGCGTGTTGAGCTGAGGACGCTCAGGGAAAGGACAGCGGCCACTGCAGTACAGGTGTCCCGGGGACCCACGTCACCAGGCTCTGCACAGAGATCGTGGGGTCCCATACGTTAGACTCTCTCCCATTTTGGAGAAATGCGGAATGCTACCACGGGCATCTAAACACTGGTTAAGGAATTAAAACCAAGGATGGACATTTAGTGCAGCAGCTAAGATTCTGCTTGGGAGGCCCCCGTGCCACGTCAGGGAGCCCGAGTTTGAGACCTGGCTCCGCTTCCAGTTCCAGCTTCCTGCTAGCACGCACCCTGGGAGGCGGCAGATGCTGGCTGGAGCACTTGGGTCCCTGCCACCCACACGGGAGGCCTGGATCAGGTTCCAGGCTCCTGGCTTTGGTCCAACCCAGCCCCAGCCTCTGCAGGCATTTGGGGACTGATCCTGCAAATGGGAGATTTGTCTGTTTCTCTGTCTCTCCGCCTTTCAAATAAATAAAAAATAATTAAAAACCATATGATGGCAATAATCTCAATTACTGACTTCTGAAATTTCCAATGCATTCATTCTCAGTCTCAATTTGTTTTTAATGGATTATTTATCAAATGTACTTTCAAATTAAATACACAGAACTACAAGCTCATTAAAGCATGAGCCGAGAACAAATTAGTATCCAATTAATTTCCAGTTCAACAACT